GCCCCTTGGAAAGCCAAAGAGCCCCGTTTGCAGGCTGGGAGTTGAATCCCTTCCAAAAAAACTCGGTGATTTCTTCAAGGTACTGTGAGCATCCGTGAAATAAAGGAGGAGGACAATGTAATCTCATTTTGCTTTTAACTTCAGAGCACTTTACATGATTGTGCCACGGCTGAGGAGCTGCCTACAGACTGCAGCAAAATATAAAAGGAGAAAACCAAAACAAAAAAAAGCAATAACTGAGAGAGATTAAAATGAGAAAAGAAAAATAGAGAAAAACAATAAAATTTAAATATACACCCTCAGAAACCATGCTGAAAATCATACAGAGGTCACCAAACCCACCTTAACTCTGCTCCCTTTTTTTTTCTTTCCCATGCCCTCAGATCCTCTCCTGCTTCCCAGGTTAAGGAAATCCAACCCAACTGCAGCTTTTTGGGGTGAACACGGTGCTGCAGCAGCGCTGGCTGATGACTCAGCATCTGTTGCTGTCTTTTCCTATTTCATTGGGTCTGTTTGAAGGACATCCCTGGCCCTGGGGAGCTGGAACTGCTTCCCTGGGGGGTGGGGGATGTTGCAGGTGCCTGGGGGGGATTTTTGGGGAGAATAAATCAGCACCTTGGCAGGATGTGGCTCTTGGGTGACTGGAAAACATGTGCAGCACGCGTGCAACTCTGATTTCTCATCAGGGCAAGAGAACCTGATGGGTTTTGTAGGGAAAACAAAGGGAATTTTCCCCTCACGCAGAGGGAAACACCTTCAGTGCAATTTCTGGGCTTTTTCACCAAGGAACAACCCCAAACACCCCACCAACAGGAGCCCTGAGCAGGCAGATGGCTCCGAGCTGCCTAATGCCATGCTTCACCTTCGGATTTCATAAAAAAAATCAATTTCCAGAGGCATCTGCAGGCCGGAGCAGGAGGAGGGAGCAGGGCCAGGGGACAGAGGATGCGCGGGGCACAGCCTGGGCTGAGCTGCCTCCAGCGCCCCATTGATCCCTGGCTCCTGCAGTCTGATCAATCCTGCACGCAGAGCAGAGCCAGGGTGAATTTATTACTCCCAGGCAAGCTCCCAGCAGAGAGGGAGGTGGATCTGCTGGGGCAGAGCCCAGCGTTGCAGCAGTTTTCGAGTCGCCCCTTCCCACGCTGCTTCCCCGGATTTAAGAGCAGCGGGTCCAGCTGGGAGGGTGACACGAGTGCTCCTGGCATGGTGGCATTGCCCACAGGCACCGTTTGGCCAAGATTTTGTTCTTGAGATTGCTGGGCACAGAAAGGGGAGGGGAGAAGGAGAAGCAGAGGGGTGAGGTGATTTGAAGCGCGTTCGCATCTCGTCACGCTGAGCCCGTTTGTCAGCCTGGAGCTGATTCCTCCCAGCCAAGGCCAAGAGGATGCTTTTGTTCGGTGTCACAATCTGAGGTATTGATGATTCTGAGATTGTGGAAAGTCTCTGTCTGTCAGCCCCCTGCCAAAGCAGAAGCCATCATTGGTCTGTGCTGGTTTCCAGGTTGTTTATTCTGTTTATCTCTCCCATGTTCTGCTGCCCTGCCCAGCTCTGTCCTGCAGGGCAGCGTGTGGGGCTCTGCCCTCAGTGGGATGTGACAAACATTCAATACCAGAAACTCCCTGGGCTGCATTTACAAGAACGTGCCAATATCTGTCACCTACGTTGGACAGTGTGTCCCCAGCCTGAACCAACAGAAAAATGCCAACACCACAGTGAGACATGGAGGGCATGAAGAAGGAGAAAAAGGACAAGGCACACCCAATTTCCTCCAGCTTGTCCCCTTTGGACCCCTCATCTAGAATCCTAAAATTTTACTTTTGCACCCGTGCCACGCTTAATTATTACTGATATCAAACACTCAGAGCTGGTAATTGATCCTGTAAGATTGAAAACTCTTTTCCATGGGCAGAGATCACAGCCAGTGTCTCTGGGGGCTCTGTCCAGGGGGTTCCTGGCCCCTGCCAGGGTCCCAGGGCAGCCAGAGGGAAGCCCTGGATTCCCACAGTTGGGGGCACAAGGGACAAAGTTACCTTGCAGTGTTCTGGATGCTTTGGCACTCACACATCTCAAAACTCATCTGCCGCTGCATTAAGGAAAAGGTGTCTCCCCCAGTTGGCACAACTGTGAAACCAATTCCTGTCTGGCACCTCCCCGAGTGCCAGGAGCTCCCACAGAGAGCCGGGAGAAGCCTCCTGCCATCCCCATGCCAGGGTCAGCATTTCCTACAGCCCTGATAAACAGAGGAGACTTTTCTATTCCAGAAAAATCTGGACTCCAGGAAGATTCCCTGGCTTGTTTTATACTCAGCAGTGGGTCCAACATCCACGTTCAAGCTCTAGCACCAGGAACTGCAGGAAATTGAGCCCAGGAAGGACAAAAGAAGAGAGAAAACTCTTCAGCTCATGGCTCTCCCTGGAAAGGATGGGGAGCAGTAAGGGAATGCTGATTCCTTAAACTGGGAGGGAATGATGAGATCTCTCACTGCTTTTAGTTCTCTCTTCCATCCAACCCCAGTCTGTAATTTAACACCTTCCCTGGAATATTTTCCTGCCTCCTCTAAAACATCTGGGTAGAGGTTATGAACTCCAGTGTGGTTCCTGCTGCAAAAAAAGAAGGGAACACCACGGAGCAAGATGGCAAATGTTCAATTAGTCAGGAACTCGTTTGTGCTTAATGACCTTTATGATCCGACTCAGTTTCTGGAAGCTGGAGCTGAGAGACGGATATAAATATGGCTTTGAAATAAAATCTCTGTTCCTACACCCAGACACAATTCTGCAGTAATTCCAGCCCAGAGGTTCCAAACCTGATGTCCCATCTCACTCCCTCACCCCACATTCCATCACAGTTTTGCTCTTTGCAACCAGGACCATCCACAGCACCTGATGGGATTTTTATTTTTTTTTTCTTGCTTATTTTTCTATTCCTGTTTCACACAGCCCCTCCTGAGGGTATCCTGGGATTGGCTCTAGAACTGCCTCCTTCCCACCAGGATTTTTATGCAGACAAATAAAATGTAAAGCACGACCCAACCACGCGGGCGGCATTTCACATGTCACACCTTGACCTCTCCCAGGCACAATCCAGTCCCCGCAGCTGCAAGAAACACTCAAAATAGAGTCAGGTCAAATATAACCGGGGTGAGCTTCACACAGAGCACATCTCACACCGGGCTGGACCCAGAACACAGCAGAATCACCCCCTGCTCCCTCATTCCAAGCAGCTCTTTCAAGCTGCAAAATGAAAATGATGGGGTTTGCCCAAATCCCATTGTCTGTGCTCGTCTCCACTTCCCTCCGTGTCCAATTCCGCAGACAGCCAGAAGAGGGGGATCACATACAGGACTGGCCAAAAGGTGACTTCAGCACCAGAAGCTTTTCCTTTAACAGATTTTTTTATTAATTTAAAGTTGCCCTTTCCCCACTCTAATTCCCACTGGTGACAGGGGGGGAAAAAAAATCCCCTCCTCTCCAAGAACCCCATGTGAACAAAGCTGCAGTCAGTGAGGCAAGGTGGTAACAGAGTAATTTATGGTGGTTTTAGGAGGAGAAGTGTGGGTTTGAGTGAAATCACACTAATTTAAAAAGAAAAAAAAATTTACTTCCTGAGAAAAAGCAATACTGGAACAAAAAGGAATAATAATGGAAAATAATGGGCCTCTGAGCAGCTCTTGTGGACCTGATTCAGGTTCCACAAGTTCCAATAAAGTAGCAAAATGCTGACAAACAGCCTGGCTGGGGGGGCTGGTGCAGAAATCACATCCGTTCTTCTTTTTTTTTTTTTTTTTTATAATTTTGGAGGGAGAAACAACAACGG